ATATATAGATAGATAGATAGATAGATAGATAGATAGATAGATAGATATATTGGTTATGACGTATTTAACGTGACTACGAATCACTGAAAACGAGCTTGTTCGCCACTCTTTGTTCTATCTGAAATGTGCTTAATGTGATTGTTTAGACGATAACAAATATCCCCATTTTAATATACATTTATTCTGTTTCTTCTTTTCAATACAAAATGGTATCATATAAAATGAGACGTATTAACCAGTTGATGAGCCACCAAAAAAAAGGTTAGCTAAACTACATTTTCATTCTATATTTGTCGATGGTATACTCCGGGAAGTAAATGTATTTCCAGTAACTATAAAATGAACCACAGATAGGATCATCCAAAAAAGCAAAATATTCAAGAGCTAATAATGTTTCTCGTGCTTAGCTATTTGACAAACCGTCTACGTATAACTTCCCAGTTCCGCGCGGAAAGCATAAACTGCAAAAGAAAAGTGTTAATTGTGTTGAAAACCTAACCGTTCTCATGCTTAGCAGCTAGGGACCTGTCCATCAAACTTCAATGTACCCGTTGTAACCGATGTTTTCTTCAGGATAAAAAAGGATGCAATTGTAATAGCTCACCACTTGGTTCGCGCAATTTGAGAAGTGGCAGGGAATCCGATTGGACGGTAGAGTGCAATCGGTCAAAGTCAGCTGAGAAGCTTGAAAGGACTGTACAGTTACTCCAACCTTGTTATGCATTATGAACAATATGAATCTGAGGGCCAAACCCGAAGCTTCATGTACTCTACCTAATGGACCACCGGGCAGCTGAACATGCTGTTTCACCTTGTCCATGCAAGGCGCATCACAGCTTGTCTTCATAAGCTCACCGGGAGTAAAATCCTTTCTCATTTTAACACTAGCCTTCAGGGGTCCGGACACGATTGGAAACACTCAACCTGGCTAGTTGTCATAACGAAGTAGTGGTTCGATTAGCTGGAGTAACATGGACCAGCACTGGCGAGGAGATCCAACAAAGTCCAAACCGCTTTCTGTAAACGATGAAACCCATTACTTATTAAACCAACCAGTAAATATTGAGGAGATATAATTACTCAGCTGTAGACAGTACTGGGAACGTTTATTTATGTACAGAAATCATAGCCGTCGCATGAAGGTGCACAGTTAATGATTGTAAAAACTGAAATGAACTGACTCACGTAAGACTGAAATATGAATCTGACTGATGAAGTTGACTTACGATGACTTCGTTAGCAACATTTTTTCGTCGAACTTCGCAAGGCGGTGAACCACATTCTTCGTTCCGTGTATCTGTTGTCAACTTGGATGCAGATGGCACACGTACAACTGGAAACTTATCATAGATTTTAGCTTTCGCGTGTGTGGGAAACTTTTCTGGCAGCTAAAAAAGAAACGAGGCTCTAGAGTATTTCACATACAATACTTTGATTGAATAGAGGAAATTGGCAAACCGAAAACGTAAAAGTGGAGCTATACGATTAGTGCAGAAATTGGAAAATTGAACGTGATATGCTGGGATTACTCATTTTCAGCTTCAGAAACGCAAGGCAGGGGGGCCGAGTGCCTTATGAGCCTCATCTCCACCGACGCGAGGAGCATCCCGCAGATGTGTGCGTGAGTGACCACTTTCATTAAGTTTTCAGCTTTGTGGGTAGGGGGCAGGATACCCGTGTGATCATCACTAAATCAAAGGATCGATTGTCCCTCTAGACACCGC